TTATGGTAGCATTAGCATTCTATGATTTACTGGTCATAATTAATTCAGGAGAATCCAGATTAAATCAAAATGTAACATTTATTTTGCCAGGCAGGATTAAACATCAATTAAAAGGATTAAACTTAATACATCACACAACTTGATCAGCAGAAAATACAACACAATTTAAAGCATAGTAAAAACAATTTCAAAGTGTCAGCATACCTGGCAAATATAGAGAGACACACAGCAATTGTGCATTGCATTCATATTCTGCTGTTCTGTGGCCACGGATTTGCGGGTCTGGTCTTTTTCTTGCAGGACCCTGTACGTTATAGTATAAAATTAGTTTTAATCGTTTAATCACCACCACAGCTTTTTGTCTCCAGTGGCAACCCGCATGATTTGTGTCGATTGCAAGTGACGTCGCAGGTTTTGGTTGTTAAAATAAAGGTGCGCTCGTTCAAAACAGTTGCGTTCGATCCTTCGCTGGCTGTGTGTTTGTGTCGCAAGTTCAGTGACGCAGTGACTATTCTCTCCGGTCAATCCATGATCAGCAGGGTTTACACGTCACGTTTTGGTAACGGTACGGTTTACTTGGAACCCCAACCGAGGTGGTACTAAAAAAAAAGTACGAGGTACCAGGTACTGTACCCAGTGGAAAACCCCCAAAAAGTGAACCGTACCGACCCGTACCGTGCCGTACCATGCAGTGGAAAAGCACCACAAGTGATGTCAATTGCGGAAGCGCAAGTGTCTGAGAGTGCAAGTCTGAGAGTGCAAGTCTGAGAGTGCAAGTGCAAGTCTGCAGCCAGACCCTTCTCCAAAAATTTCCCACAGCACGATGCTACCACCACCATGCTTCACTGTTGGGATAATATTGCGCGTACAGTGGTGCCTGGTTTCCTTCAGACAAGACTCCTGGAAATGAGGATTATCAGACCAGAGAATCTTGTTGTCACAGCAAGAGTTTTTTTTAACCAAGCAGACATTCATGTGTCTTCACTGAGAAGAGGCTTTGAGCCATTCTGTCATAAGGCTAATTCACACCACACCGACAGACACTGATCAATGCCAACAGTCACCAGATTACAGTATGGCACTTCTCAGACATTCTAATACATGACAAACACAGATTCAACATGTTCAATCAGCAAAACCAAGTAACGACCAACAGCAAAAGGGTAACACATTGATTCGCCAAACCCTGATAAACATGTCTGTTGCCGTTGGTTGTATCTGTCACTGTGGTGTGCCCTGGCCTATATATAAAGTTAAGATTGGTGGAGTGTTTCAGTGATGGCTGTTCTTCTGCATGTTTCTCCCATCTCTACACAGATCTTTGGAGCTCAACCACAGTGACCATCAGGTTCTTGGTCAACTCTCTTATCAAGGCCGGTCGGGTGGCCAGCTCTAGAAAAGTCTAAGTCTGATTATTCCAAAGTTCTTCTAATTCTTTCATATGTGGAAAAATGACTTTTCACTAGGCTGCAAAAAAAAAAAAAAGATATGACAAACAAGGGTTCTGAATACTTTCTGAATGCTCTGTGATTTTAAATCTGGACACACCTGCTCTTCTCTTTCTCTTTTCTAACGATGCTTATTTTTAAATGAACTTGATTTGCATCTTTTCTGCAGAGGAACCACAGCACCTGAGTGCTTCCTCTTTCTTGTAAACATACTCCTTCATTTTTCACCAGTCAATCAACCTTCCCAGAAGGTCTGCGTGCCAGCCTACTTGTCTCATGCTCCGGTTTCTGGACTTCCTAATAGTGTTCTAACCTCAGACTCTGCCACAGGTGAGATCTCAAGGAGCAGTTTGCTCATATGTTCCCAATATGATGGAATTCTTTCTCATTTACTGTCACAATAACATAACATGATTTGATTTCCATTGTTAGTGCAAAGGGCCTTTTGGTGTGTTATATTTGTGCTGGGTGTCATCTTGGTTATTACTGGTGGGTTCATCACAATTTGTGCAACCCCAGGGACCAGCTATCGCCTTTATGAGACTGGAGGGGCTCTCTTTATAACCGGGGGTGAGAAAATAGTTGCCAAAACATCCAATTGCCAGTGATTCTATAGTGATTTTGCTGAAACATTCTCTCTTTTTCTCTTCTTTCCCATGCAGGTATCTTAATCATGTCTGTAGTGATGCTGTTTGCTGTGTGGGTGCAGGTCTCAGACTCTTTAGAGCGGTACGGCCTCCAGCGCAGGCGCTTAGTGTGCCCCAGTCTGCAGCTCAGTGTGCACTATGGTCCGTCTTTTATGCTGGCTCCCACTGCTGCCTTCCTCTGCCTGCTCACTGGCCTGCTTCTCCTGCTTATCCCATCAGTCAGCAAAGCATCAGCCAGAGACACAGAGAATCAGCCATTCTCACTGCGAGAGGAATGTGTGTAGAGTTATGTATATATGACAATGATACTTTCCCAATATTTAAAGTATTTTTTTCTGTTATCATTCACTCCCCCTTTTCTGAATGTGTATAGTTTTCTGCCCTCCATATACCACAAAAGGAGATTTAGGAGGATATTTTACATGAGAATATAATTGAAAGTAATCAAATTTTGAACACATTTTCATTAAAGCAATAATTAAATGTATCTGGGGGACACAAGGGGGTGCTACAGGGTTTACAGAAAAGATTTTATAAATATCAATGATAATTTCATCAGATATGTTAAATTTATCTTTATTATCACGATTTCAAATAGCTTTTAAAGGTGGGAATTTTTAACTTTTTTATTCTACTGACAGCCACAGCTCTGAAAAGCTCCTAGTTACCATTCACTTTCACTGTATGAAAAAGAGCAACCCCAACATTTTGCTAAACTTCTACTTGTGTGGAGAAGAAAAAAAAATTATAACTGAATTTTATTTTTATTACCAGATGAACTATTTCTTTAAGACTGTTAAAAGTTCATAATCAGATACATGTGAATATTCTGATTAAGCACTAAAATTGCAGAAACTATAGAAACAGAAAAAGGGGAGAAACAGCCTAAATACACACATATACAGTATCTATTTTGAAAATATTTGCATGTAATTACATTACGTATATATTTATATCCATATAATTCAGATTATATATTCATATATTTAATATATAAACATAACATATTTTTCTTAAATATATACATGCATGGGTGTGTATAAATATACACAGTACACATATACTGTAAACAAAAACTTTTATTTTGAATGCGATTAATCGTGATTAATCGGTTGACAGCACTAATTATAATATAATTATTATGGAAATATATATATAAAATATACATAACGTGATATATCCTCCTGACTACCAGCTATGGAGTTTTGTCCTCTATAGTGGACATTCTTTTTTAAAGATTTCTCTGAGACCTTACATGTCACAGTTTTAAGTCTGGATGTCCTGTAAAGAGCCATTCAGGGCTTTAGATATCAAATGTTTGGAAGTTTCACCAAGACCAATCCCTCTGCTTGGTCTTTAAATATGGCTGACAATTTAGTGATCAAATGTAACACCCTTATGGAAATATGATAATATTTTTGTAATGATCATTTAAATCTGACAAATTTTCCAATTGTTTGTCATAAATCAACATCTCAGGAAAATATTATGGGCTTTCAAATCAAAATAAAATATGACTTTCTGTTATGAAACAGGATATAAATTTCATACATGTCCACTGTAGAGGACACCAAGCATGTTTATTAGGCATTTTAGGAGACACAACAAATGAATAAATATATCCCTATGAAATATTATTTATTATTATGAACATCATACTCGCCAATTATTACTCCCACTATTACACTTATTTTTTCATTATACGTTGTCCCAAAAACACATTAACATGCAAATTAGATACAATTTATAGATACATTGTATATAAGTGGAAAAACTGTTCATGGACATTTTGCATAAAGAAAAGTGGTATATCAAATCCTTCTGTTAAATCTTTCATAACATAGTTGAGAATCATCTTTATATAAAGTTTGGTATAAAAAATAAAATGTATTTGTGATTAAAACAAAAATCCAACTGTTTTTGCATTTTCATGTCTATTCATGTCTTTTTATTTGATTAAAAACAGGACTTTTTAAAGTCCTGGTGTCCTCTACAGAGGACATAGCATAACATATGTCACATCTATGTATGTATGTATGTATGTATGTATGTATGTATTATATTGTTTAGAGAACAATACATTTGGGTTTACTTAGATTTGAATTTGTGCAAAAGGAAAATATACTTACATTTGAGGGTGCATTTAAATTGGTTAGAGCAGGGGTGCCCAACCCTGCTCCTGGCGATCGACTGTCCTGCAAAGTTTAGCTCCAACTCTAATCAAAGACACCTGCCTTTAATTTTTAAGTGATCCTGAAGACCCTAATTAGTTGCTTCAGGTGTCTTTGATTAGGGTTGGAGCTGAACTTTGCAGGACAGTCGATCGCCAGGAGCAGGGTTGGGCACCCCTGGGTTAGAGCATAAATATGGCCTCTGTCTTATAGAAAGTAACCACTAGAGAAAGTAACCACTAGAGAGCAGTGTTGCTTCAGATCTTGAAAGCTGTCACAATTATGGAAGAAGCGCTCACCCTAGGGAACTGTGGGACTTATCCAAAAGCTGATCCCAGATAGCTGAAACAACAGTGCTGAGATTGAAAAATAAATCACTGCTTTATGAATAAGACAGGGGAGCTCAGATAATAACTGTACATTTGAAATAAACATGAATCAAATTGGCACATTTTGATCAAACCTCATGTGTTCTCCATTTTCCTCTACAGTCATTCTTGCATGAAAGAATTACAATACATTCGTTGGGTCTATTGTCACACCTTTATAATTGGAAAAGGCAAACAGACCCCTGAGATGTTCCGAGAGATGGTGGAGTTTGACTTAGATGAAGTGAAGCGCCTCATCAGCGCAGATCTGTCTTTAATGTTTGACGCAACGCGCCGCACTGTTAATCTGAGTCGCGAGTTTGGCGCGTATAATTACACCTGGACCTGTCACATCCGCTTCCGCCGCCGCAACCAATTTAAACATCTCTGTCAGTCCCGACCCTCGTCAAACCACCGCAATGAATTGATGTTTTAAGGTAGGTTTTAATGAATAAGGGGGAGTCGGATTCGGTCATATCACCTCAGATTAAATTTTTTTCTTTCTTCCACGGCGTCTGTTGGCAGATTCATTACCGGTGCTTGCCCACAACCCCCAGCACGATATTTTCCCAAAACGGCTCGACTGTCACCCGCACGGCTCGCGCAGTTGTTCGTCCCCCTCATCACCATCTTTGTCCCAGAGAGATAGAACTGTCCAAAACAATTACCTCAGGAGCTTTAATGACAAGCGGTGAATCATTTTAATCTCTTAGCACTTTATCTTGGAGGTACCTACGGTTAAAAGCGGCGACTAGATGCAAATACTTGACACTAAACTCGCTCGCACAAATAAATAAATAAAACATGCCAAAGTTTACTGCAAAGCAAGCAAAAAGGCCTCGTAAAGTTGGTGTCCCTCTCATTTTTGTGAATGCGGACATGAATGAAAAATGTTTAATGTTAAGTTTTAAGTTAACATGAAAAATTTGGTAACACTTTAAGGTGTCCTTGTTACACATGTTACATGTACTTACTATTATAATAACAATATGCATAATTACATGCAATAAGCCAAACCCTAATCCTAACCATATAGTAAGTACATGTAGTTAATATTACTCAGTATTTAAATGTATGATTACACTGTAACAAGGACACCTTAAAATAAAGTGTAACCAAAAATTTAAATCAGTTAGGCTACCTTTTTAAAAGAAAATCCAGTATTTATTATTGTCCAATTAAAATAGGCTATATAAAAATTATAAATTTTTGCAACAACGATAATTATGTGTGGCACTTAACACTTGTGGCAATTAACATATTTATGTAGCCTATTAATTCTAAGTATTTGTAAAAAATACTTTTCATTTATAAAAAAAAAAAAAAAAAAAAAAAAAATATTAAAGAGGGAACACCCAC